TATACGGAATTATAAAATAAAATGCAAATTATAATCAGGCCTGTTTTAGGCTTTTCTTGTCACAGTCTTCAGCGGGTGTGCCCAGGAGGGCCACCAGATGACTGTGTTCGGTGAGCACATGGCTTGTGTTGTGTTGTCTGTTGCCATGTGCTCTCTCCTGTCTATTGTCTTGCCCCTCCCATCTTGTTACCTCGTTATGGTTTTAGTTGCTCCACCTGTGTCTCCCTCGTTAGCCTCCTCTTTTGGTTCCTATTTATTCTCCTGGTGTCTGTCATCCTGTGCTGATCCGTCATTTTTCATTGTGTGTGTTTTGTGTCTGCATGTGGTGCAGCTTTAGGCCTGCCTGTCTGTTTTTCCCCTTCGGGGTGGTTTGAGTTTGTTTTTGTTTCATTTTTATTATTAAAATAAATAACCATTTCTCCTGCAATTGAGTCCTCGCTTCATCTCCCCGCACGCACCGTGACAATTGTGAGTGGACACAAATAAAACTAGACCCTTTACAGTTTAGAATGATGTATTACTCTTATCTTTATGAGCAAAAATGACGGCATATATTAAGTTGTTTCCACTGTTAGAAATAAATGCAAGTGATGGCGATGGCGCCTCCGTATGCTGCAGAGCTTCAGCTTCAACTCTCCGCACAAACTATTGGACATGCGTCGAACAGCGCACATTTATCTAGGTTAAACATTTAAACTAACATTGTGATATGCTCGTTTTATATCTATAGATTTTATTTTAGGCAAGTCATGATGATTTGAGAAGGCTAAATTGATCAAACATATAGGCTATGATCAACTCATTGTCTGCCGCTGGCCACTTGGTCGTTACTTAAAAAAAAAAAAAAAACTTACATTTTAACGAACAAAAAAATGTTCCAAACGTTTTTCTAAATTAACTTTATAAAAAAATGAAACAAAATATAATCACTTTTCCATTACATACAAAACTTAACTGTTTTAAAAGCTGAAACAGTAGTATAAGCTTTTTTGGGAAAAGGGGAAAAAAGACCCACTCACCCAAAAAAAAAAAAAACTGCGTACTATCGGAAGAAATCCTGCAGGCGCCCCTGATGAACACGATCTCTCTCGCTCACATCAGAAAAGAAGTGGCTAAAAAAACAAAAGTCGTGTGAAGTGTGGAGCTGATGAGTTTTGATTTCTGTTTTCTGTAGAGTTTCCAGTCTCTCTCAGCACCTCCTGAAATGTAAGTCAGGCAGAAAACTCACTGAGTGTCTTCATGTTCTTCCTGTAGAAGGGGAAAGAAGAGTTTTATAACTGATGATGTAAATGATGATTTGCACAGATATCTGCTCATCTGTACTGAGACACTGATGATACACTCAACATGAAGAGTTCAGCTACATGAAAAGATCAAACAGATTCATAATTCCTGATTCTGATGTGTTTTATCTCCATCACATTCCCATCAGCTCACTCTGGATCTCAACACAGTGAATACATACCTCCGTCTTTCTGAGAGAAACAGAGTGATTACATTCACTGACACAGATCAGCCATATCCTGATCATCCAGACAGATTTGATGAGTATTTTCAGGTGTTGTGCAGAGAGAGTGCGTGTGGACGCTGTTACTGGGAGCTGCAGTGGAGTGGAGATTATGTGTATATATCAGTGTCATATAAGAGCATCAGCAGGAAGGGAGAGGGTGATGAGTGTGTGTTTGGATGTAATGATCAGTCCTGGAGTTTGTTCTGCTCTTACTCCAGCTACTCATTCATACACAATAACATACAGACTGCTCTCCCTGTAGAGTCCATCAGCAGGAGAATAGGAGTGTTTGTGGATCACAGTGCAGGAACTCTGTCCTTCTACAGCGTCTCTGACACAATGAGCCTCATCCACACAGTCCAGACCACATTCACTCAGCCGCTCTATCCTGGGTTTTATGTTTATAATGAATCATCAGTGAAACTGTGTTGATGAATCAGAATAGACTGACGAGAGATTCTACCCATAATGCTTTGAGCTGCATGATAAATCAGTAACAGTGAGATGTTATAGAGTCTCTTTTCTCTTCTGTCAGTGAAATAACATGTCATAATAAATGTAATAAATCCTCATATAGACAGTATAGCAGCACACTTTCTGTGAAAACACACACACAGTTACACTCAGAGCAGCTTCTCAGAACATAATGTAATTGTAATATTGTTTTATCTTATGATTGTGTGGTTTAATTAAGGGATATATGTCTTGTCGTGAGTAAGAGATCAGATAATGTCTCCATTTCCAGGTTTTTAATGTTATAAAGTAGTATTTTAACATTGTTTTCTGTTTCATATAATAACACTTGTTGATGTCTGAGCATTGAAACATACACAGATAAGATTATTCAATAAATAATCCTCCCCATCCACTTCTTCTCACGCATCTTCCTTCACTCAGCTCACCCAGAATGGTCAATAGCATAATATAACGTTCTATATTAATGCAAGTGATATTCACAGTCATGTTTGTTATCATTTGAATCGTCTCTGTGCGTCTGGTACAATGGTTTCAATCTTACAAGAAGTAAACTACAATGTAATACGGCTCTTAAGAGTTTAGAGATAGTTTGCTCACTGTAGAGGGTGTCATTTCCCAGTGCTTTTGCAAATTACCATCTGTCCCCAAATGGTGTTTACACGTCTAGGCCTTGATCAATGCAAATTCAAACTGTTAGTTCCTGTCTCCATTTTGGAGAATGTTTGTCTTGGTCTGGGTATTTAAGTGACAACTGCAAATCAGGGTGATTCTGTAACCAGAAGCCCGTAGCATAGAGTGTCCATGCACTCTATGCTATGTATTTTTCCAAAGTCAGGTACGCATCTTTTGCTTTTAGATTTATCTTTAGAATTTTATGTTGTGTATTTATTTGAATTGATATCTTTGAATTGGCTATGTAATTGGCATAAAACATATTAATAAAATTGTTACGTTTGAAATTATTCTGACTTACTCTGAGATTATTGACTCTAGTTAATTAAGTCTATAAAACTGCAAATCTACGCTCAGGTTAGTAACGGACTAAAATGATGTTTTAGAGCTTCAGCTAACACATTGGCATTAGTTATGTACACTTAGGCTATTGGGTTTTTCCATTTAGAACAACAGTGTGTTGTTGAGCAACCTAAATTCGGGTCAGCCTCAACCTCTGATTAATGTAATATTATTCTAACTATGTGTACGTGAGAAATCACGGCATCATTATATAAAGTTACATTATGCTAAGTTCACACTACACGACTTTAAACGTCGGCAGATCGCTGTGCTGTTCAGACTACATGACTTGATTGTCTGTCTTTAAGTTGTTGTGGTGTTCACACTATATGACTCTATGTAAATGATCTGCAACCGGGGGTCACACACTACACAAGCTGACAACAACTCTGTCACCCAACGACTCTACAAACCACATTTTGTCACGAAAACACACGCGAGAATTGGAACGGGAATGACGCGAAACAACACGTGAAACAGGAGTTGTTTATTTGAAAATGGATGTCGGGAAAAAATTAGCGTTGCAAGCTGTTTGCTCAGTGAAAAATTTTGCTATGTTTATTGTGTCCAAACTTTTCTTTAAGCCATGTT